CGGCGGGCGAGCGGGCTCCGCAGACCGCCGCCCTCGCTCCGACCGGGCGGGCCCGGCGCGGGGAGCCCCGCCATTGGTAGAGAGTGACGTCATCCTGCCCTGTTAGAATAAACCACCAATCACCGCCCGCCTCGGCCTCGGCCCCGCCCGCCCCTTAAAGCGGCAGACTCCGCGCTGCGGGGCGCTGGGGCGCGGCGGGCGGGAGGCTGGAGCGTAGGAGGCGGGCCGAGGCGGGCCGACGGGGTGCGGACGCGGGGACGAGGGGTGAGGTCTGCGGCGGAGGCGCTCACCGAGAGTGGGGTGGGGCGCGGGTGAGGGAGGAGCTACCCCCGAAATCGATCACCAGCCCTGTAAGGTCACGGGTCGAGCCACGCCTTTGCCCGAGAGCCCAGGTGCGAAGGCGCCGCGCTGGCACGGACGGCTCCGCGCCCCGCGGGGTTTACGTCCCTGCGGTCGGCGCCGTGCGGGAGCAGCGTGACCTCGTCTGGGTCGGGACGCTTTCTGGAGGAAGCAGTGTCTGAACTGATCTTAGACCTCCAGAGCACCTGCAGCCGGATGCGGCCGGAGGGACAAGCGGACGAGGGCTGCCCTGCCCTACTGCGCCTGCGCGCCCCTTGGCGCCTTCCTCCGGGTCTCCCGACTCCTCGTCCTGTCCATTCGGAGTTGTCGTTTCTCCTTCCTGCGGAGAGGAGACGAGACGCTGGAACTCGCCGGCCGTGTTGCCTCTCTCCGCTTTCCACGGGTGAGCCGGTGCGTCCAGCCTTCCTCCTGGCATCAGTCCCGTCCCTTCACCTGCACAGGACCCACTCCGTGAATTCTTCCCTTTCCTATGGTACCAAGTTTTGGTTCTCACTGGATAGGTCCTAGCGGACATAATATGTATTTCCGCTTCCTTAAAGGCAGCGAACACGTCAGGTGATGAGGCACGCACATGCGGTCTCATTTGCTCCAGAGGTGGAGGCCAGGGGATTGATCGAGCCCAGGGATTAAGGGCCTGGGCAACATGGCGAGACCTGCCCCTTGAAAAACAAAAGTAAAGAGCAAAACGAAGGATATGTCTTCTTTTATTACCACCCTAGGTTGCCAACAAGACGCATTTAAAGAGATGTGAGCCGGGCACCTGTGATCCTGGCACTGCAGTGGCTGAGGCAGGACGATCACAGCGAGTTCCAGGCCAGCCTGGGCTACACAGCAAGGCCCCATCTCAAAACCAAACAAAGAAAAGCAACAGTCTGCAGAAAGCGAGAAAATGTTTGGAATTATATCTGAAAAAGAACTAGTAACTAGAATATATAAAGAGCTCTTACTGCTTAACGGTGCAAACACTGATGACCCAATTTCAAAGTGGACAGAGAATTTTTCTGATAGACATTTCTCCAAAGAAGGCATGCAGACAAACCACTAAACACAAGAGGGGATGCCTAACATCGTTAGTCATTAGGGGCACACAGATGAAAACAACGGTGCAATAGCACCTCACACCAGCCGGGGCGGCCATAATAAACAAGGTGATAGTAGCAAAGCCTGGCGGGATCTGGAAAAGCTGATACCCTAGTACATTGCCAGGGAGGGTGCAAAATGGTGCTGCTGCTTTGCAAAGCAACTTGAAGTTCCTCCAGACTTAATCACAGAGTTACCACAGACCCAGAGATCCACTTCAAGTTATATGCTCAAGAGAATCAAACACATGTTGACATGAAAACTTGTACATAAATGTTTATAGCACCATTATTCAAAACAGTCAAGAAATGAAAACAAGGTATGCCTGGGGGTGCACACCTGTAATCCCAGCACTCATGAGGCTGCGGCAGGAGGGTTGCCCTGAGTTCAAGGCCAGCCTGGGCTATATAGTGAGACCCTGTCTCAAAAAAAAAAAAAAAAAAAGGTGTAAACAACCCAAATGTCTTATCAACTGATGAATAGGTGTCATACATACATACAATGGAATATTTTTCAGTTATAGATGAATAAAATGCTGATACATGCTATGACATGGACGAATCCTAAAAACAGTTTGCTAAGCGAAAGAAGCCAGACAAAAAAAGCCTCATGCTGTATGATTCCACTTATATGATGTTTCCACAGTAGTCAAGCCTACAAGGACAGAGAGTAGATGTCAGGGCAGGGCATAGATATGGGGCTTCTTTTGGAGAGGAGCTCATCAACTGCCCTAAGTCAGACGGTGGTTAGCGTTGCTCATCTTATGAATATACTTACAACCCGTGAGCTGGGTATTTTTAAAGTGTGAATTACATCTCAAGAAAAAATTACCATAATGAAAAAGAAACAACAAGATCTGCACTCGTGGTCCTGTCCTGGAACTTTCTCTGCGTGAAGCCCTCCAGCTCCGTCCTGATGGCCCTTCCAGGAGGGTGATCTGTCCTTTCTGTCGGTGAGGTCACCGTGTGCAGCCATGTCACAGCCCACATGGACTCGACCAGAACATCACAACGGTTCCTCCCATGTGTCCAGAACCCAAGCGCGTGTCACCCACTGCGGTGACCTCCCTTCATCTCTGCCTCAGTCCGCACTGTGGGAGACTCCAGCTGTCTCTCTCGTCCACGCTTGCACTCCTCAAGGCAAAGCTCCACCCAGGCCGGGGTCCTCTCAAAACTTAAGACACGTTTGTCCCTTCTCTGCTCAAATCCCTGGAGAGGCGCCACCTTATTCCAAGAAGAACTCGGAGCCCCGACTATGCCCTCCAAGGCCCTTGGCCACCCACCTCTCCCCAGTCCCTTTTCGTCGTCTACCACCCTCCCTCGCTGGGCCAGGACACCAGGCAGCAGCTGTCCCTCGGGGCCTTTGCCCTCTCCCGGGATGAGCTGTCTCCTGAAGGCTACCTGGTTACCCTGGCCTTGTTTTGAGCGGTGGCTGATGTGATTTCCTGAGGGTCCTGCTCTGACTGACTACACCCCCATCCCCCTCACCCCTCCGCTTCTCTGCCCTTGCACTTGGTGCTGTGTCATGCTCCAGAAGTTGTTTACGTGTTTCACCATATTTCCTTTTCCACCCCCTGTGTAGGATCCACGTAGGAAAGGGCTTTTATCTGCTTTGCTCACTGCTATATCCCAATACCCAAAGCAGCATAGTATTGTTCAAGAAATACTTGCTGAATGGATGAGTGAGCTCTGAAGAATGAGAAAGAATTAATCAGGAAAAGTGATTGCAGAGGGCAGTGCAGCAGACCTCTGCAGAGGTCAGTGTTCCAGCCAGAGACAATGTGTATAAACGCTCTGACGAATGAGCGGGGAAGATGGCATTTGCTGATCAAACACATGGCATAGAAACGTTTGATAGCTGGGTGTGGTGGCGCACGCCTGTAATCCCAGCACTCGGGAGGCTGAGGCAGGAGGATGGTTGTGAGTTCAAGGCCAGCCTGACCGCATAGTGAGATCCTGTCTCAAAAAGACAAAAAATAATAATAATAATAATAATAATTTGATAAAAATTAACATTCATAGGCCAGGCGTGATGGCGCATGCCTGTAATCCCAGCACTTGGGAGGCTAAGGCAAGAGGATCATTGCGAGTTCGAGGCCAGCCTGGGCTACAAAGTGAGCTCAAGCCCAGCCTGAACTGCACAGCAAGACCCTGTTCAAAAAAAAAAAAAAAAAAAAAAAAAATTAACATGCATGGTAAAGACAAACTCTTGCTTAACAAACTCTAAGCAGGTTTACTTCTTAACTTGATAACTTGATGGCATGTTATCTGCCAGGACAAACATCCCATGTGATGGAGGAGCTTTAGACGCGTTCCCACAGCCCAGCTGTGCTTCTGGAATGCGGCACGATTCCACTTCTCCACCCTTCTGCAAGTTAGGCTTGGTCACAGGACTTGCTTTGAGATCCTCTAGGCCAAGCATGTGTGTGGCTTTAGCAGGGAAACTTCTTCGAAGCCAGTGCATTACTGCCGCCGCCCTTCCTCCTACATTGGAGTTGCAGAAACACCTGTCCCTGGAAGCAGACAGCTTTGTCAGCCTGCACAGCTGGGAAGCAACAAGAAGGGAGCCCTGCTCTTGTGCTGAATGTTACAGGTGGGTGAGAACTAGTTTTCCCACCTTTTCTCCCAGTGAGGATTAAACCTAGGGCCTGTGCTGAGCTACAAGCCCAGTCCTTTTTATTTTCATTTTTGAGATAGGGCCTTGCTAAGGTTCCCACTCTGGCCTCAAACTTGTGGGGCTGGGGATTTAGCTCAGCAGCACAGCACCTGCCTGGCAAGCGCAAGGTTGTGAGTTTGATTCCCAGTACCGGAAAAACAAACAAACAAAAAAACCCTTGTGATCCACCTGTATCAGCCTCTGGAATTACAGGTATGCTCCACTATGCTCCCCCTCCATGACAACTAATTTTTTTTTAAACTCTTTATGAAATAATTCTTAACGCTGCTATCAGTTTTTTGATAGTCTGCTGTGAA